AAGCAAAATCCATGGCAATTTTTTCATAAAATGCTACCCTGCACCCTGATGAAAATATTACAAAGAAGAGCAACATTTAACAGTACAGTATGACAAAAAATCATCACAAAACATTTTAACAACTGATTTAAAAATGTAGCTAATCTGGCCCAGAGTCTCTGCTACAAGGGGAAGATGAAACTCAGATCCTGGATTGGCAACAAATATCAAAACAGTCAGCAATAAAACAATTGTAAGCACTTTTACAAACAAAAGATAGAAACGGCAGCATTTGATTGAGAACATACATGTTGTATTCCAGATTAAATTCTTCTAATCAATACCTCCAGTTTCCTGCTTATGCTTCATTCAATTTAAGTCTGTTCTGCTTGTTCCAAAAATAAAATGGTGACCTTTCTCATTGTCATCTATAAGGTGGCATTTCCTGTCTCTATCATCAATTATTATCTTCATTTTCTTGTATTATTATTAAGTTATATTTCTATTTTATCAAAACAAACTTAAAAAATTTAAAACATATTAGCAGGAAGTTTTGTGTTAAAAACAAATTGCTCTCTGTTAAAATGAGACTATGATGACTTAAAACAGAATCAATGTAATTTTAAGATGTGTCTCAAAACCAGGTGTATTAAATTCCCAGCTCTTATATTCTGCATGTCCCTTAGTAAACAAAATAAATGAAAAGCTGACACACCTTTTACAGATTTTTTTTTCTCATACACACATGACATGTATAAGAAAGAATGAAATAAATGCAACATAGCATAAAATTAACAAGACTAATTGTTGGAAAGAATGACATGATCAACAATTTTCTCAGTCATAACAATAATGTTAAAGGTAACCATGGTCTCTCGAGAACACAGATATTCGATGACCCTTCTTGCATTGTTTCACTTAACCTCATACTTTGATATTTAAAACACTATTGCCCAAGAGAAAAGGAAAGTAATAGAAAAACTTGTAAAGAGATATACATTTTCTAATAAAGAGTTATTTTAATTGTTTTTCTGTTGACACCAAAGGATATACTGAAAAAGTTATTAAAATAATTCTACCGCTGACCTTTAATTTTCACAATAGATGTCAGATGTGATCAGTCATTATAAATGATGTTGTTACAAGATTTTGTCATGAAAATCCTGGAGCTGAATAAGTATATTAAAACAGTTAGCTAAGAGTAGTAGATCTCCACATACAAAGAGCAACAATTTCAGGTACTCATTGATGAATAGAATTCCATGATGTATTAATTTGACAGGTAGACAATTATTGACATGTAAAATCAAGAGTTATGGAACATTTCATGTACATGAGAATGTTTTGTGTAGTGTTTTCACAAAAATTTACCAAATGTTGACTTGGTCTAATTAGAGCCCCTGTCACCAAGGGCTGTGAAAGCGTAAAAGGATCACCGAATGAATGCCTTGGTTATCCACAGGGCTAGACAGAGATTGTGTGGTGTCTCTACCACAATTAAACTGTGTGTGTACAGCGCTTTTACAATTTCAGAGCAGTGTGAGCGCCATTAAAGCGCAAATAGTGCAGTAGAAGTGCAATCCAAACGAAGGCAATCACCAAGTAAAGCACAGTAACAACGCATTACAACACCATGGAAGCTCCGTAGCAATGCCATGATTGCTGTGAGGACTCCGTGAAGTCTCAATGTCATCAAAATTTCAGATTTTTCTTGCGATCTCATTGTGCTTTGTTAAATTTAACAACGCCATGCAAGCGCAGTCTAAGTGTGAAAGGGCCTGAACTTAAATGTAACTTTACAAATGTTTTAATCTCTTGTGAAAAATGAACATAACAACAATTTATCACAACTCTGTTTGATTTGTTCATCAAATATAAAAGACTCATCAAAGAGTGATCATAATGTCCTGCTGTTCATACCTGAATATATATAATAATTCATATTTTTTGCAAAGATATGGCAATACAATCCATCCAAGGATTCGTTATAAAACTACAAATAGGACTACAAATAGAGCTACCAAAAGAACTACAAATATTTTAAATATGGAATCTTTGTTGTTTTTTACACTGTTAATATGTAGATACATTAAAAAACCTGACTTTGACACGGACTTGTTGATCGATTTCTATAAATGATTAGGTAATGATGAGATAAGCTCTTTTAATCAACTAATGCATGTGTCAATCAATCTACTTGTCCTCATCTAATTGGATCGAAAGGCTCGTGCGTTTTGTTCCTTGCAATCTGTCCAAATGTTTTCACTGGTTCAATATCAATTTGTCGATGAAATAACTGATGTTGTGAAACTTCCAAATGGCAAAGTTACTGAGTGTGTCTCCGTTACAATTTTTGCTATATTCTAGATATATACGGTAATACTGTTATATTCAAATGTTGACTTTGGAGGCCTTTTTAATACTCAAGGTCAATATTTCTTTCAAAGTCCAATTTCTTATTTTGAAAACATAATCTGTACTGTGGTGTTTTCCACAATACCTCAAATGAATGAGTGATAAGATACTTTCAACCTAAAATAAGTACGGTAATAAAGCAAGAAATTGTTGCCTGTCCAAAATGTGTTAAAAAAGAAATTTAAGTTCCCCTTTAAAATATCAAAGCAATATTACAAAGTATGAAAAAGGCAGGTCTCATCAAAAGGTATGTTGTGACCAAGAATAAAGTGCTTCTAACTTATTTGAATAAAGATGTTGTAGTCAACTTTCAATTTGTATTCAGAGACAAATAGACACTTCATAGGTTTATCTAGCTTTATTGGTGAATAAAACTCAGCAGCCCCTTGAGGCATCACCAACAGGCACTCAAGCAGAACTACCAAGTAAAGTTACCAGCTAAAACTACCAACTTTCAAAATGTACTTTTTGACAGCTTTTTTTGCAAGGGATACTTAAGCACAGAGCATTTGATTTTCATTACATACACTGAGGTACCCTTCCTTCTCAGACAAGGAGTGTTGTTATTTGTATTATGAAGGTAGCTGTTTCATTGAGAAACAAGATTACATTAGATGACATACCAGGAGAATAAACTTAATGACTGGCATCGAGAGAAATTTTACTGTATATAGAAATGAAACCATTTAAATGACAATATACTTTATTGAGAATATAAAACAAGATATAAACTGTTTTCTCTCAATGTCCTTAGACTTAGCAATATTTTGGTTCTGATTTCTAAAATATTGACTCGATCTTCAGTGAAGATTTGTCTAGACAAGTATTCTATTAATGTATTGCATTAAGTAACCTTTTAAACTGTATCTAGCATGTAAAAAAATAATGCATACATATGATACATGTATTTCCAGTAGGAAAAACTGCTAATATGGTCATAGTATTGTTAAGTTTTTATTTCCAATTAGGACTTAAAAAGACTGATCAAGGTCTTATAAAATATTTTTTTTGTAAATGCATTTACATGTTAAATTAAATTTAGTTATAAAAGTTCATACAAGTACAGTGTATTTGCATTATAACTTTGAAAAAAGTCTAAACAAATGTTCAAGGCCAGATTTTTTATTAAATCTGTATTAATAAAGAACAACCTTAAATAAGCCAAAACTGACTTAGAAATCAAGCAAAACGATTGAACTATAATGTTTACCCTTATAACAATACTTTTTGACTCAATTAAATATTAATATGTAAGAAAGGGTATAGTAAGGCATGGTTATAAATCAAGATTAATACAAGGGGTTGCCATGAGAACAAAGCCTATGACTTCCATTATTAACATATTAAATAGTGATGTACTTTTAAAAAATCGTTGTGAACAGTAGTCTTAGTGACCCCTTTACAGATATTTTCTATCATTTTCTTTCAAGATTATGCATTCTATTTTTTCTAGATTTAATCAATAATTTTTACTCTACTTTCTCAGCATTGAACACATATCTGTGTTTCTGGAAGAAAACTGCAGAAATGCAGGTATATCAAAGTTTTTTTAATACAGATTATTTCTTCAAGTTTTTGTCTTTAACAATGTGGTAACTGAAAATGATTTATTGGGCTGCTTCAAACCTTCTAGAATATAGGTGATTATGTTAAAATGCAATCAGTTTAGAGTTCAGGTTGTGATACTTAAATATCTGTGAGCATGGGGCCAAGCCAGCTTGCACAGTCAAATGCTGCAGTGTGACAAGGGCTCTAATATTCATTACCCTATTTTCATAATATGTTATTGAAATCCCTTATACTTTGAATGAACTTGCTGTTCCAAATTCAAAGCAGGCCCAATCCATTACAATAATGGGTTTAAACAGAACTGATTTATATAAACTCATATTTCCACCATCACCTTAGTAAATATAACATACAGTTTGTATAATATACACTTATGTTACAATACAATATATCAGACAGACTGGTTGGTATCAGAACAACAATCTCTGTATATGATCTAATTTCAGCAGACTGTGAAAACATGTGTCTCCATACAATATATCCTATATCAATACATGACATATATATGTATATGTCTATATTTTATGCTCAAAGTTTATATTAGTTCTTCATAATTAAAATATCAAAGTTTTTGCAAAAGTAAAAATATTTCCAATAATCAATTTCTGTCAATATTTTTTCGGCATGATCAAAGAATAAGTAGGTAAGCCAACATGCTGGCACCAATTTAAAACTCTCCTTGCCACCATTGTAAAGCATGACTGCAGCTACTTAATTCTAATATTTTGGCAATCAAAGCCCTGACATTTACTTGACATTACACAACATCATTAACAGTATCATCAAATGATGATAACAAATCAAAGCAAGTCATCAGTCTCATCTCTATTCTAAGGTAACAAAAATTGAGCAAATCTTAAAATGAAACTTTCATATGTTTAAGAAAACTTCCAAAGCTATGTGAGAGAATCTATGCAAGCTCTGGACATTTTAGACACCTGAAGGATACTTTTACTTTGCCTACAACTTTGAAACTTTTATAACTATGTAATATGTATACAATGAAACCAAATGACAGAGATAAAAAGCCATCTTACCTAAGTTAATTGAAGAGCGTCTCCTGCTTTTAGGTACCAACAACTTCAAGAAACTGCACATGTCATAGTTTTCCGATTGACTTGCACAATTCTCAGTTTATCATCCTCAACTGTACAAATAGGCCTCCCTTTTCATGTCATTCAATGTCCACCCCGATGGTGAGAAGTGAAAACTATTCACAACTAATATCCTTCATTTCATAAGAAGTTTTAGGTTGCACATATTCAAATTTAAGGAGCTTTTTTCATTTTAATTTTTTATCATTTTCATCAAAGCTCTCACCAAAAATAATGTCACACATTTTATTCACATAATTTTATCACAAAGGTACTAAGCAGAACATCTGCCAGTTACTGTCTTTCACTTTTAACAGTCTTCACAGAGAACAATATGTCACAATTTAAATTTATACTTTCTTTTCCAAGCATAATTCATTTGATTTCCTTTCGGTGCAAAACCTTTGTGGTATACAGTTGGCAATATTTACTCTTGTTTAACATATAATTTATATAAAATCATGCTAAAGGGTTTTCCAAGTTTGTCTAGCTTTTCTCCCTGCTGAGATTAAATAAATAGGTATAAATCTGATCTGTCTGTCTGTTCTTTTACATGATAAGAATGAATAATGTTGTAATATTTTTTATTCTCAAGTTTACCATACATTTATTACATCATTCTGCAATACTGCAAGTAAAGTGTTGCTAAAATTTCCAGATGTTTTCAAGATAAATTTATCATAAGAAATCATTTATACAAAATCCTATAAAATTAATATGGATTTATATCTAAAAATAGAAAAAAGAGATCAATTGAAAAATATGATTAGGCAGAATATATTGTGAAACTCTATTTATATTTTCAATAGTAAAATGAAGGCTAGACTTCTGATGTACAGCCTGACATATTTGCTCTATTAAAGTTGGGTGCTTAAAAATGTATTATTTGACACTGAAATCACTCAAAGTAAGAAGCTTGAAAGCTCAGGACACATCAATTTTCAAATTTTCAAAAATTCATAAAATCTTACAGAAGCAAATATTCTTATTAACTTAAAAAAAATGAATAATTGACAGATCCCCTCCCCCTTTCACAAACCTAATAGCAGAAATGCAGCTTGCAAAATTAACGAATTTCGCATGCATAGCATATCATAAAGTCCTCTTGGTATAACTGATGTAACATTTGCAGGTATGCAGCTTATACAGTATGATAAAACATTCACAGGTGTGCAGTATACTGTTAACAATCAATCTGCAATATGCAGTATTATTTTCTTCCATGATTTCTGTGCCAAAAGAATTGGTAAGTGCTGGTAGATAGAACTGAATTGACACTAATAAGCAGATGGAAAGACAAGATTAATGACATGAAATAGTCACTGGTATCAATATAAAGTGATAATTTCAAGAAATAAACCAGGTCACACAAAAAATTAAACTAAAATCAATAATTAATTTACAGTCAACTCATTAAAGGAACTCCACTGAGGCCCAAAGCAATAAAAGACAAAATTTGAAAATCCTTCAAATATCTAGAGCACATAAAAAGGAAAACAATTTGCAAAGGATAACAAAGAAATTTACTCAGAATTAAATTAAAAATTGATTTTTCATGTGTTTTGAGTGAAAAGCATTGCATGATGCTTTTCATTTTTTGGGTTGCTTCTTTCACAATAAAAATGATTATTCCGGATAAAAAAAACAGTGCGAGGGAATAAGCTGAAAATTTGCACACAAATTATTCACCCAGACTTACATCAAATGATACACAAATCTCAGAAAAACATGTCCAGTCCAGTCATGTCAAAAAACCTCAGTAGAGTCAGAGTCCCTTTAAGCAAATTAACTCTAAGTCAAACAGCGGCTGATTCCACCAATGCTACTAGTATAGACCAATATCAGCCAGCATATCATGGTCTCACTACTCAGTAAAGTAAATATTTTGAAAATTTCCCTGAAAATTTTCGATAATTTGTTCTGTAGCACTAAAAGTGAATTGATAATTGTTTTTAATAGTTTCAAGTGTTTTAACTAGCTTTTTATATTGTAGTTTAATTGAAATGTTGTCTAACATAATGAATGAAACATGCTATGTGAAACTGTTTTCTTATAAAATATGCATGGAGTCACTCATCCTATAATTCCTATGATGGTTAAAGTAACATCAATGTTTCAGACAATGAAGTCATTTTATAAACATTTATTTATGCAACTACCTTATCAATCAATGATCATTTAGTTTAGATTTAACTTAACCTTTACCCTACCTAAATATCTGAAATGAACTTGTCCATCTTTCAATCTGGACAAAACCATTTCTCATTTTTAGGGAAATATTCAAACCATTTACTAACTCAATAGTGAACACTGTGCAGATATTTTATCAGATGGCACAATTGGGTCGGCTAATCTTGATCTCAGAAGAATTTGTTGTTGACTGCAAGCTAAGGTTTAAGTAAATTTTCTCATATTTGTAACCAGGTTTATGAAATTAAAATGCTTACAAAGGAAAATTTTTAATGTGGGTGGTATGTTGGGCAAATCATAAATTATTGATGTTTGTTGTTTAGAAAATCTTTTTAACAAATAAAAGAACTGATATCATAAATTGTTAATAAGTATAAATCAGCAAGTATAGGACTTTGAAGAACTCTCCCAAAACTGAATTGTTAATCTTTTTAATTTTGAAAATACATGAAGACAGCTGCAGATACACAACCTTGTTTTTGCTTGATGTCAAAGTGTTTTTTGTTTAAATATCAGAAACATCACTTTACTAAATGTTATTATAGAATTAGTTTTTCTTCTACAATGCCTTCACAATAGCTTTTATGCAAAAGTGTTGAATAAAAATTTAAATTCTAAAATTTGCACTGTGACATGGAAAGATAGCTATTAAATTTTTTGGCAGAATTTTTTTTAAGTGTTTATTACAGTTTATATTTTGCATGAAGATGTAATTTAGAAGATTTAAGCATATTGTCATAGTAACAAATTCAATAAAAGCAATTATCTGTTTAATCTTCATTTATCTTCATGGCAAGTTTTAAAATCAATATGATATCAGTGCTTGTTTCTTTTAATCTAAGGTTGAAATTCTACAAACACTTGTGCAAAGACAAGGTGACTGCAAATATCAATGGGAAAATGCAAGTGTCCTATTTCACACATTATGCACAGCCTGCTTTCATAAAACCTGTTGACAATATTTCATTGGCAACAAACCTGTTGCCCCCACCCCCTTTGTAGGTTTCAAAAATAAAATATTATTAAAAAAATAAATAAATAAAAACACATTAACTGACAGACAGATTCATCTTATTCATGTGTTAGGAAACACAATGCATCGTATTACCATAAGTTTTCCTAGAAATATTGAACGTTTAAATTTTCACTCATTCAAAATGCCCTATAATCCATTTTTCAGTACACTTATTTCCACATGACAATCTATCCAGCGTTTGTCAACTAGCGTATTTGAAAACTCTCCACTAAACAATAACACAGCCCTGGCACAGTCCAAATAAAGGCTATAAAACACTGTTACAAGATACTAGGCCAAATATAGCTATCTTGCATGCTCCTCTGATTTCTAGTAGAAGACTAGCTGATTTCCAATACTCAATATTTCTCACAGTCACACGCCTATTCCGTTGCTACTAAGGCCTCTCATTGAATTTTGGACATGCTTTCATAACATACATTGCACGCTGACTTCCGAAAGCAAGTTTCAGGAAATGAAATGAATAGCAAGATTAACTCGCATATTTAAAAGCTCAACGTGAAACAAGCTATTGTCAATGCTAGATTACACATGTCAAGGTTCTGCTTAGCTTTTAGAATAATATTTCTTTATAAATAAGTATCCAATAAAATTTCAACTACCATAGTGTACTCAAATGTATCCACTAAGGTACAGGCATTTTCTTGCTTCAGTAATGAGTGCATATTTATTTCCCAAATTAAGATGTGGCGCTGGCATTGAAACATACACATATTATAACATAATACAGGGTGTCATGTGATCAAGGTCAAGGACGAATTCTGGACACCGCTATGTCCATTTAAAAAGTGTTCCCGTTTCACAAAATAAAAAATTCGAGTTTTACTTTTAAACACAAGAATTGCATCAGGTGCATATCACATGCTTCTTTATTTTTGTTGCTAAAAGGTGTTCTTTTTTTTAAGTTAAATATTTAAGGTAAGGAGCAGAGAGCTATCTATTCTGGCTACCATTCAGACTAAGAGACTACAGTTAGAGGTGGGAACTCAATGAATATGCTTGCAAAAGTAACCTTCATTCTAAGGATATTAGAAATATTAATAATTGCTGACTTCAGATGATATTTTGTAGACTTCAGCATATTTTCAACCTCCTATATAATAATGTAAAAGGCTATCATTACTTTAATATATTTAACTTACGTAGAGAATGAATGCCTGAAAATAAGCAACAGGTATTGGTTTTTAAGAAATGTCAGATCTCTAAATGTCAAGTTTATTTCAATTTTAATTCCTTGTCTTTACTTTTAAAAACTAATATATAAGATTTTATGACATGAAAAAACTTTCTCAAAATAGGCAATACGTTCTTTAGAATACCTGAGTTTCTTTCTATAATATTCTGTTCTAATAGTACACCATGTAGTGTTTGGAGGCTATTTCTAACTCTTCCATCATGGCAAAGTAAAATATGTAAAGTTAAATGACCAATTAATATGAAAGAAACAGCAATTTTTACTATGCGTTTTTGCAGACTAAATAATAATATGAAACTTTAGAGTCTGGCTGGGATGAAAGAGTGCTTATACTTTTCACCTGAAGTAGTGAGTACAAATCCCAACTAAAAGAGTTCTGCTTCACTGGAAAAACATCACACTATAGCTTTATTAACATGATAACCTATTCTCAACTTGTGTTAATGCTAAAACCAGAATGACCTTGTCCTAGAACAATTAGGAACTTAATAATATCAATAAATTAGTATTAGGCAAAACCTGGCTTGGGATCAAACATACCACCGGCTGCCAAACAAAGCATTTGCTCTTGCAGTTGTACAATCATATGTTTATTTATTTCATGAATTTATACCTCTCTAACTTATTTTCCATTGTTATTTTAAGATATTTTCAATGTCAAAATTTTCAAATCTTGCAGTCAACAGTTAACGAGATGTGCAGGCTTGCTAAGATAATGTGCAGGCTTGCTAAGATAAAACTACTCAGGCATGAAGACCTACCGTGTCAGCCTCTGACAGCATTCAGGGTGTCATATAGCATATCATTTACCAGGAAAAGATATTTTATCACCTTACGGCAGAAAGAAAGGAAGTTTACAAATCTTAGAAGTTTACAAACCCAGCTGAGCAGGAATGAAAAACCAAAAAATATCAAAACTGTGTGGGTAGTTTTCTAAAATTGTTCCAATATAATTATAACAATGAATATCTTTAAAATAGTCAATTTAATCTTATAAATATTACAATAAATCAATTTTTATGACACTTTGTACAGCGAGAAGGTAATGAATTGACTCACGCTTTTGCATACTGTTGAATTTATTATTAACAATTCATAAGCTGTCTACATGATAATAAGTCCCGGAGGAAAAGAACACGCTGCCTTTGACGTCATGAAATTTCAATTTCTGTCTGAAGTTTTGTCTCTATTGTCAAGAGTTTCGAGCGAAAGTATAATGACATTCATGTACATGTATATCCTTATATATTATAAAACTCACAAGAATATGCATGTTTTTAGCTTGAAACAAAATAACACTCAAAAGAATATGCATGAATATACCTTTACACAGAATAACACTCAAAAGAATATGCATGCATATTTGGGATTTTGTGCAGCTGTTTTGTAATTTATTTTTTCATCCCTGATTCACCAAGCCCTCAATAAGAACCTGAGGCAAGATGTGCTTTCCAAATGTCCCAGAAAACATAGCATGCCTAGGTTAGGTTTTAGACTTTGGATGGACAATCCCTTGGGTTTAGGAGTTTTAAGTTAACATGGACACAGCAAAAGTGATATGGTGGCTTTCAAGCTTGACTGGTGAAGGTACATCTACTAATGTCCTGCCATGCAATAATTACTTTAAACACAAATAGGTAACAGGGTACAACCCCTGTTAGCAATATGGGTAGCTTTCTTCACATAAAATAATTCTCGAGGGATTCAAATCCAAAGCTGCACTCAATGACCAAATGATTAAGAGAGATATTATACACTTTCCAACATAGACCATATCCTGGTTTATTTTTAAATGCTCTGGCTTGCAATATTGATTTGATCCAATTTCAAACAATTAAATTCCAATTAATAATTGCATGATTGCATGTGTCTTGATTAATGTTGCCAATTAAAGTATAAAATCAAACACTTGTGCAACACAATTCATTCATTTTCTACTCCAGTTGCAAGTGCAGTATAGATTTGGTGTCTCTAGATTTTAGAATGATTTAAATGCTTTTGTAATACTTTATATCATCAAACACTGGAATCAATTTAAAGAACAAAAGCTAATTCAAATCTTAAATCAATTCAACAATATTAACAACATTCAATCAAAACAGGAACTACATTGATATTGATTTATACCATATTTGAAACTAACTATGAGAAAGTAAAAAAAATTGTTTTCATTGCATTATATTAGAAGACTAAGCACTACCAACATCTTCAAGTTAATTTGAACTTTCAGTTGTGGTAATATTACCATAGTAACAATGTCTATACAGAAAGTGCAGAGAAAAACATTGATATCCTTCCACATCTTTATTTTTCCATTTGACTAAGTATTACTAACACTGTTGAAGTTATATGACAATTTTCAAGTTAGGCTCTGCATGCTTCAAATCAGACACAGGCAGCCAATCCTTCTTTAAGCTACCTGACTTACTAGAACCAGAAATGTTTTAGTTAGCTTGGTTACCAGTACTGCAAACCTGTACTTTAGCTGGATTACTAGAACCACAAATCTATAAGGAAGCTGGATCATTAGAACCACAAATCTAAAAGCTAGCTGGATCACTGGAACCACAAATCTGTAAGATAGCTGGGTCACTAGAACCACAAATCTATAAGGTACCTGGGTCATTAGAACCACAAATCTGTAAGCTAGCCGGATCATTAGAACTGCAAATCTATAAGCTAGCTGGATCACTAGAACCACAAATACATAAGCATGCTGGATCACTAGATCCACAAATCTGTAAGCTAGCTGGATGACTGGAACCACACATATGTATAGCTAGATAACTAGAACCACAAGTCTGTAAGCTAACTGGAAAGTTTTCTTACACAAAATCATTTAATATCACTCACAGGATTTTACAAATAAATTATTTTAAAAAACCCGCAACCTTTCTCAAATTTTGGTTTATCAAACCCAGAAATTCAGGGCAGTTTTTTTCCTACTGGTTTTATATTATGTAAAATATTGTTGAAAAGCCCAGGGGGGTTAAAAGTATTTTTTAAATATAAATATTCAAAAAAACAAAAATACATAATAATTAATAATAAATTTTTTTAAGGCTTAAATTTTCTGTACTGCGAGATTCCCTTTTTTTTTTGTAAAATAAATTTCCCTTTTTTACATGAAATATGTATCATTTATGTTTCTGTAATAATGTTGCTACTCTTTAATAAATTGTTAAGTTTGTGTATAAAGATCTACTGTCCCTTAAAGGCACATTGTTCCTCAGAAATGCTTTTATTTTATTAATTTTTAACAAGGCAGTCTGAAGGACCGCTATACCCCCTTCTGCAGCAGACATGAATATGTGTACTTCATGACACAACCAACCATGACCTTGATGTTGTGCCATGCATATCATAACCATATTTGCCTTTTCTAGAGAAGTAAATATTGATACAAGTCTGAGGCACAATGTGCCTTTAAAATTTAAAATAGACTGTTCCAAATTTAAAGCAGGGCAAGTGCATCACAAAAATTCAGCAGGTTATGGGATTATTCCAAATACTAACCCGAGATTTAATCAGATTCACCATGTCAATCAATTAATGCATTGCTATCTACTTACATTGTATGCTATAGAAAATATAATAAGCTTTTTTGTTCATACATGAACTATCTATCTATACTACGAATAACATAATTTCATATGTCATGGACAAAAAAATATATAATTTTTTTTTATTTTTCTTGTTATTTTTTTTTAAAAAATGACTTGTTTACTCGCCAAATACTGCATCTATTCATTTTAATCAGCATAAAAAAATTAGAGGACAAACATGTTGCACCAACAACATTGTGACGGATAATCTTTGAAATATGGTACCGGTACTTAAAGAGAATCAATCACCATTCATGACATAAGTGTCAAGTTGACTTAAGTCCTTTAACTTTCCACTGGCATTCAACACTGAGCTACCAATTACATTCCAATAAAATCGAACAACAGGTAACAATGAATATATCCACTGTAGAGAAATATCTAAAAAAAAGTGTAAAAAAAAAAATCTTCTCACTATTAATTATATAAAATCAATGAAAGGTTTGATCAATAGTATAAACAGCTGTAGTTTCTATTCAGTTGAATGAAACAAGTACAACA